CCACACATCCGGCATTCGCCGAGAAATGAGCTACTGCTCGCCCAATCCCGAGCAGCTGATGTGCTCGGCGAATGTTCGCTCGCTATGATGTGCTCAAATAACCGACACGCGGTGGGTAGGGCGAGCACCGAATGTTTGTCACTTGGCGAATCGCAAGCAACTCGCCCACACTACTCGGGATTCGGCGAGCGGTCACTCTCTACTCGCCGAATACCGAATGTGTGGAACCTCCTTACAACGAATCCCTAATACAGTAGAAGCCAATTGTAATGCTACCCAACTCCCTTTTTCCAGCAAAATACATTTCTTAAAAAATCTATTTATATGAGTGTGTTAGTTACTATGAAATTAAGATTCTTTGTGAATTAAGATTTTCTGTACTTCTGCTTCTAGACACTCTGTACGTGTGCTTCTAGATTATTCTACTCTGGTCCAAACTACATGTTGAAACTTCAGACTTACTTAATGAGATTATGCAATTTTTTCTCAGTTCTGGAAGATATTCTGCGTTATTTTCTTGATCTATTGGAAAACTAATTTTAACTCAAAAGGCAAAGAGCATGAAAACTACGTCACTCCAAGTGCATTGGCTTTTATTCTATTCATTCATAATTATAATTTTCAATTATTTGAATCAATTCCTCTACTATTGCAATATATGACAAATGGAATTTCTAGCTTTATTTGTGCAGAACACTATTTACCTATTAATATTTTCTATCTACATCTAATTGTTGCACTTTGCCAAATCCTAAGTAAACATTCCATGCTTTAATACTCTAGTTGTCTATTTTACAAAATATATGAAACTACCATTCTTTCTCTCCGATTGTTTCTTTTACTACGAGGTTCAGGCTTCTAGAAAACACAAGACATCAGACAAAATCTATGAAATGTAAACTTACCAAAAAAGAGTGCAAATAAATAAAATGTTATATTTACCTTACTTCTGTTTCTTGGAGCGAAGTCTTCTTTTGACGTTTTACGTCTTTTGTCCTTTAATATCATTCGCGCTGCGGCGAACGCCATGCCTGTTGTGCTGGTAATTTTTTCTGGTTAAAATGAGTCGACGAAACGCGAAACTTGAGCTTCGGGGAGTCTGGGGTTCTACTTTCGGAATTGTCGCACTCTCTTGGCGTAGGGGTTGGTGAACGCTGGTTGAAAAGCAGAAACGATCCTTACCAGGAGGATGAGTTCTAGGATAGCGTTGTTTTAGTAGATTCTTCAATGACGAATTTTCAATGTATTATATCACACACAGCAATCAAAAAAATGCTTGATCAATCACAGGTGATATCACTGATAATTATAATTCTTCTATTTGCACTTATGAATACTTTTTTACAATGGCCTGCTTAGCAATGTATGGTTACTCTTCAGGTTCACTTCATGAAACAACTTATCGACGATTATTATTGTTATTGCTAAGAGGTATATTAAATATTATTGCTCTTACTATTATTGTTGTGAATCGTATAAACTTCTAAAGGCTTATTGAAATATTTGTAAATGGAACCCGTTTTATATTGCTTAATATCCACGATGAAAAGTGTTTTCTTAGTTGTGACTTCTTTGCCGTGCAGTGTGCAAACGAATACCAACTACGTGCAGTGCAGTATAAAACGGTGAAGAAGGGTGCGGAAGTCGAAGAAGAAGAAGAGAAGAAGTGAAGAGTGCAGATGAAGAGAAGAAGAAGAAGTTTTCTACACCGCAGACAGAGGAAATACAAAACTTCGAAAAGTTCTAAGATTCATCCCAATCGATGCGGAACTAGATGAATTGTTAATAGGTCTACTCCTCGCCGGTTATACATAGAACTTCGTCCTCGGCCGGCTTAGAAGTGTTCACTTTCATGAAACGACTCGCTCAGAATCCCTTCATGCACTGTGGCAGCGGCTGCCATATTTCGCGGGAGGCGGCGTGTGGGTGGGGCGCGATGGCCCGGATGAGCGGTCGGTGGTTGGCGAGTGGTTGGGTGGTCCGCGCGCGCCTGCTGGAGGATCTTCCGGACGGTGGTGCTGGCAAGGACGGTTGCCGGCGACGGCCTGCGGCTTGGCGCGGGAGTGCTAAAATGGCCTGGAAAAGAAAGGCGACATGAGACCACGGGCCGCGTTCGTCATGGCGGTGTCCGCACAGAACCAAGACGTTGCGTCGACGGAGAGTCACGGAGAAAACTGACTAACGCTGTGAAACACGCGCGAAAAGACAGTAAGATAAAGCATTATTGATCTTCTGATTCTAAATGAGACCTTGCCTGATTCATAAACGGTTGCATGGCTGGTTCGAAGGTTGGAACACAGCAGAGGAGTACTGACGTGCAGTGGACATGCGTTGACCTTCAATCATTGCTGATAATATGATATGTACCTAGAACTCGTTTCCTTGACTTACGATTAACACTAAAAGTATGCCGATCCAAATGTTCTAGAGGAGTACAACGGTTAAGCAGATGAACTTGGGTTTCATTCGTTAACTTGTGGATGGTCAGTTTTGGCTTTCCGATTCGTCTCTAAATGACTCTTTTGTGCACTTACGTGGACATAAAATTCCTTATATACTAGAGTTTTAAATATTCTTGTATATTAAGAGTAGTACAAACATTCAAAGACATGAATTTGAATGGTCTTTAGGTTTTCAGTTACTGCTAACATTTTAATCTGTAGGAGATTCTGTCTAATTTTCTTGCAAAGACATAATGTCTCCTTTAAACAGACTGACGTTCGATTACTCGAGACAAAAAAGTAGGTTGAAAATAATAGCTAATTTTAGGGCTTTTATTTAAGAAACTGACGTTCTTCACTTGCGATTAAACAATTAATTCAAAAATGTTAACCTTATAGCGGAGTTTCGGAGTAAAAATGAAGACTAGGGGACATGAAGTTATTTCTGATATTTTAATTGATGTGTACGCAATCGAACATCGCACATTTTTGAGGACACGCGATGCCTATTAAGAGAGTCTTTTAACTGTACTAAGATAACTCCTAAATAATAACGTGAGATGAATAGCCGTTCCTTCTAAGGAAAACCCCTAAGAACTCTACTAAAGGTTGGCTTTAAGTGCAAAAACTTGATAACTAAGTACCAAGGTAGCACTAACAAATGGATGTAGATGACGTTTTTTCAGTACCGACCTTCTAATTTGAGATTATTACCTGACGGTAACATACTTCGAAACGAATCCTTCAAGTACTTTCATAAAAGACAAGTGCATTAATAAAAGCAAGTGCATAGATAAACGTGGACGACTTTCACGCACGCCACACCGAGGGGTCACGCCACGCCGAGGAGTTTGCTGACATTGTAGCTCGGAAATAAGACTAGTGTTCTTTCCAAATGTGCAAGCGTAATATGTCAAAGAAAATATCACTTTTACAGCATTCCGAAAAAACCAAGGCCCAGGTAGACGTATTTGACAGACTTTGACAACGTCCATGATAAAAGGTAAATATAAAAATCATTGCTGGTTTTGTGAACAATTCCTAGATCCAATTTCATTACTAGATGAACGTTAATTATTAACTTGTTTCTATGGTAAAAACATAACAGTGAAGTGATATACAAGCAGCACCAAAACCAGAGTGAAATATGAAACAGCGATATTACATGAAAGCAGTGCAAATACTTTAAATATAATCGTTAGCATTACAAATCCAATGAAATACAGAAGTGGCATCTCTGGCATTTAGTCTAACGTTACGCATTGTAAATAACTGACTCGAGTGGCGTGTTGTAGCACAAACCTTGCTCTTGAATACCCTTCCCAACGGAAACACGAGGTACACTACGAGCCGAGGTACCTGAATAAAGCACGTACGACTTACATCAAACAATCGAAAACGGTAGACGGCGTGTTTTTTTTTATTTAACGGCGGTGAATGTTCCCGTAGAATTCTGTTTTAAGCACCAAAGTGGTACAGTTGCTTGAGATGAAAGTAGAAACGCGCCATATACGTAAGAGCAACATGGCGCAAAAGCGAGGACCAAAAAAAGGTACTAATAGTTTCCGCGCTAGTACGTTAAATAATTCAAGGGGAATGTAACTATCAGTTTACTGGTCAAATAATAATATTACGATATTATGGAATCTAACAGCCGTATGCTACACACTAGTATTGTGCCATTCATTTTAAATCCCAAATATGTATATAATCGCACACAAAACGCGAGTCAAATTGTGTTAAACATACACCTAATTAAAATTTGTTCACCCCTAAAGCTCAGGTATGTAATATCAAAAGCTGAAGCAAAATATGAAACGCCTTAGTTGATCGAGACGAGTGCCATAGCTGGATGTAGAGAGCTTCCAGGCACCGAATCACCCTAGCCTCTTTTTCCAAGACGACCAAAATCCAAGCAAAGCTAGCTATCACATACCACTCTTTCTCGCGACAGCACTGGAAGCCAGAAGTAGTTTTCATTTAAACGCAAAATATTTGTGTGGAATCCTCCTAGAGTAGTAAGTACCTTTTACAATCAAGTTTTTGAATATCACTAAATGTGCGAAGAGAAAGACTAACATTTTCCAAAACTAAATTTCAAAACTTGATTATACATCTACAATGAAAGATAACATTAGAGCTGCTAGCACATAACCATCTCTGAATAGACTTTATCACTTGTAGGTAGGTGGATGAGGCCTACGTGATTGTTATTTCTTCAAACTACAACTACACGAGATTACAAGAATAATAGTACATTCGCCAAACACCCTAATGTTAATGGCATACTTTGATAAATGTATACCTCCACAATGACCTTTTATAATATTATTTGTCTAAAACTACCATACTGTTGGCAGCAAAGCTAACCATTCTTGTTACTACACACGTCGTACTTTGGCAATTTAATCAATAGCTAACTTTAGGAAATTCGTTCACACTCAAAATACCCTCGTCTCATACAGAGGGAACCTAGTACAACGCGACGCACATTGAACAGTTGAAAACACTGGAAATAAATTTGCAAGAAACCGCACCGGTAAAATTCTCTTAAAGATATTAGCTTTCCATAAAAAGTTTCGAGAATATAGTAACTAGTCAAAACCTAAGAAAACAAACAATAATGAGAATCTAATCTAAGATATCGAAAGAGGTCACGTTGAACACACAAATTACTTGCTAGTAGTGAACATACCCAAGACGAGAATGTAATAGTTTATTCTGTTTTAAAAAAAGTTTAGAATATCAATCTTGAGACACTGGACGAGTCTTCCGTCCCACGCAAGTCTATGCAACACTCTGATCAAGAGCACATTTGCGGATTAGAAGAAACACGCTGCACGAACAGAGGTGACTACATCCTATTTTCTGAGATTCCTTAATTCTACACGACGCGTGTCTGTCGCATGCAACCCATAAATACAACAGCGTAGGAAGGCATTGGTCCATAGCTCACACAGCTCGCCACCAAAATCCTACTGAAATCCTACTCTTTACAAAATATTTTGAGAATATAATAATATCACAATCGAAAATCACACGCAATTGTGTTGATCATGAGACTCGCGCTTAGTGTTGCGCAACACTTAACTTCACGCCAAAAACATTAGGTGCATTAAAAGCACTACACGCACAAACTGAGCAACCTACATCTCACGTTCCGAGAAGCTTTAACGCTTCACGAACTAACCGCACCTCTGCCGCATGCAACACGTTACGACTCCGCAGAAAGCCATTGGTCCTTAGCTCACGCAGCTAGCCA